TCATCAAATCACTTTCTTAGCTTTGTCTAGAAAAATAATTCACATAATGTTATTTTATAATATAATATTATAAACAAATTTATTAGCTGAACCTTCAAAAATTTAAATAAAAATAATTTAAAATTTTATTATTTTAATAAATTTTAATTAAAACAAGAATGATATTGTTTTGATTTTTTGTCATTATACTTTATTAAAATAACGTAATTTTAAAATATTTTTTACATAATTTTTTATAAGTTTGGTAGATAAACACTAATTTCAAATATAATATATAACCTCACATGATAGCCATTAAAATTAATTTTTTATTTAATAAATAGTGTAAACATTCATTTGTTTTATTATGCCCAAATATTATTGTAAGATAATATTATGTGTGAATTAGTTTTACTTTTATATGAGACAGGCTAATTAGTTGAAATCTTTCGTGGAAAAGAGAAGTAAGGAGGGGAATTAAGAATTTGAATCCAAATCATACAAGTGAGGAAGCATTTTTTTATTAATAATTTAATCAATTATTCTGAAGGTCTTCCTTAGATTTATTTTATTTATATTATGTTTGTTAATAGTATAAATGCTGTAATGTAGCCAATAATATGAGAATTGCACCATTTTTAACTCTTAATAAAATTATAAAAACTAATATTAAAAAATACTCTCCATCTATAATTAAGTAAAATGCAATTTACATAAAACCAACTGCATGTAGCCAACAACATGTTAATTTGAGTGTAAAGATTTCAATTCCCTTTAAATAAGATTTCGAGTTTAAGTCTTGTAAATGAGACATACTAATTGATTGAAATCTTTCATGGAAAAGAGAAGTGGGGAGAGGAATTAAGAATTCGAATCCTAATCATACAAGTGAGGAAGCATTTTTTATTAATAATTTAGTCAATTATTCTAAAGGTCTTCCTTAGATTTATTTTATTTATATTATGTTTGTAAATAGTATAAATGCTGTAATGTAGCCAATAATATGAGAATTGCACCATTTTTAACTCTTAATAAAATTATAAATTCTAATATTAAAAAATACTCTCCATCAATAATTAAGTAAAATGTAATTTACATAAAACCACCTGCATCTAGCCAATGACATGTTAGTTATAATGTAAAGAATTTGATTCACTTAAAATAAAATTTTGAGTTTAAATTTTGTAAATGAAAATATAAATACTAAAAGAGTTCTTTTTTTTATGAAATGTGATGTGTTTTTATTTTAAATTAATTAAGATTTAATGTAATTTTGGATATTAATAAGTTAGTAAAAAAAAAAAAACCAACCGTACGCAAAATGCAATTTACATTTCTAATAAATTATGCTGCATTGACCATAAAATGAAAACAATGTGAAGGAACACCACACGTGCGCCAACACGCGCACGCAATTATGGAGGATCCTACTTGAATGGTTGGTCTTGATATATGGGTCCACTTGAATTTGGCTGGTAGTACAGATTTTAGGGTTATTATGGAGAAGAAAAGTGAGTGTTAATGAAGGAAGGATCATTTGATTATTATGGGCTGTAATAATTGAAGAAAAAGGTGAAATATATTTGGTTAAATAACGAAAACGGGTTAAATGTTTAGTCAATTTGGCAAAACCCTATGTTTACTTTATTTTCCTTTTAAATTTCTCACTTTCAGCACCTTATTTTACTTAATAGAATTTTTAATTTCTTAACTATATGATTTAAAGTAGATAATTCAAAATTAATGTCAATTTAACATAAATAGTGTCTTAACTCTTTATGATACACATAATAATTGAATGTTAATTTTGAGGTATTTATTTTAAATCAAATAATTACATAATTAAAAGTTTTAATATGTAAAATAAAGAGTTAAAAACAACCAATTTAATAAAAACAGGGGTTAAATATGGGTTTGTGCCAGTCAATACAACAGTGAGGGTGGGATTCGCACTCTTTTTGGCCACACGAGAGAAAGACGATGGGACCCCTCCCTTTCCCCAACCCCAAATTATTTTGCCATCAATACTCAATAGATGAATTTGGATTGGGTCATTACTCATTATTGTTAACGAAAAAGTCCAATTAAAAATTCTAATTAATCCATGTGATCAAGGTCTTATTTGTCAGTGAGTACAATTGGAAGCCCCATACTTAACGTTTAAAATTAAATTTATGAGTGTCCACTTAGGTCAGTACCAGTGGCGGAGCCAGGGGGTGCGAGGGGCGGCGCTCGCCCCCCCTGAAATTTGAAAATCTTGCAAAGTAGTTCAAGAAAAAATATCTAATTTCTCCTGAACTTTTAAAATTTTAGTACATTGCCCCTCCTGAAAAAAATTTCTGCCTCCGCCCCTGGTCAGTACCATATTTCGAGTCTCTTGGTCTTAAAAATGAGTAATGTTTTAAGTAAAAAAAAGGATTGGGTCTCCATTTAAAGTTTGAACTATTACTTTCAAAATTTTTCAACTCTTTAAGAATTGAATTATAAACAAACGAATTTTATTTATACTATTTTTAAGATTTATGTATTTTATGTGTATTTTTTAATTCACTAATTTTACAACGTAGATGTTTAAAGTTAAGATTAATTTAATTAAACTCTTATTAATATTTTATCCCCCGAAAAAAAAAAAAAAAACCTCTTATAGTTGAATGGTACCTTATCAAAACATAATTGGGTTTGTTAGGCCAATACAACCCTTGACTTATAGGTGAAGATAATCAAAGTGTATGAGTCATACTTTCATACCAGAACATAATTTTTGGCATGCAGACTCAAAAGACACAACAATACAACACATTTGACTTAAGACATAACATCTAAGGTTGCAAGGAAAAGGCAGATATGACATCAATGTTGTCCCTCATTTGAATTTGAGATGGCAAGTTCATTCTCCACACAACAATGAATTTCCTTCTTTTTTTTTCTCTAGTCTTCACAATTAAATCAAGGCATCTCCATTCCCCACCTACTAGATAATGCAAACAGTGGTAGAATAACTGTTCCCCATGTCCATATGTTAGGCCACACCTTGACTTTGTTATCATATGAAAATACAAGCAATGAGGGACCCAAAACCTCCAGTTTCCTGAACTAAATTAGGCAGCATTACGTGTATGGAAGAAACTCTTGCCTTTACTCTCTCTCTCTCTCTCTCTCTCTTCTTCTTCTTCTTTTTCTTTTTATCCCTTCTTTTTTTTGGCGTGAGAAAAAGGAAAACCCTTGCCCACTGCTGCACAACTTGACTTAAAGTTTGAAATAAGACACCAGAACAGAAAAAGTTGTTAAAATTCGCTTCGATTAGAAAAATGAGTTTTGAGCCTTTCAAACGAATTATTGACCATTTCGCAGATTGTCAAATGATTTGGATGGCTTCCAAATCCAGAATATAGGGTTGGTCATCCATATAATCTTAATACAGTGATGTCTGTTCATTGCACGAAAATTGTTCCTCTTCAGAATCGAGGAAACTATTTATGCTTATATTAGAAAATTTACAATGAATTACCTACTTGTTTGTTTGAAAAATTGAATCTTCATCAATGACATGTCAAGCCAAAATCTTCAATACACCAACCTAATGAAGATCCAAACCAATAAGTTTTAAATGCAGAGAGCTTAAAACACATGAAGAGATAACCAGATAACCACGTGCACGTGTGCAGAAGGTAACCAATACAATTCCCATTTAATGCCTGAAATTAATACCAATATTAACTCACAGTGCATCATTCCCCAGGTACCCAAAATGATTTTTTTTTT